TTTTTTTTTATAGTGACTGTATATCCCACATACTTTTTGAGAGATGACTTTTTATAACAATCTTCGAAAAGACAAAGTGTCAAGAGAACAGAAGCACTGTCGGAAAAAAAAGCACAGAAAAGTAAAGTAAACCTCACCTACTTTATGAGATGTTATCTATGACCTGTTGCTGTGGTACTGGTAAAAGTAGAACAGTGCAATACTGGGTGGGAAAACTACTACAGACAGGGTACACTCTCACAGCATCGTCTCCGACTTCAAAGACCCAACCAGCCAACCAAAAGAAAAAAACGGCATTTCACTCACGTGGTCACACACCAAAGTTATCTGTTTCCTGTTTGCACGCCATTTCTGTGGTATTGTGTAAGCATCTGGGCATGGTCTTAATACTATGCATGTATGTCCACTGTGCAGGCACACATGCAAAGAAGCTCTACGCTAAAATTAAGATGATTATTAGATATCAAATTTTCCTGCTTGTGTGACATCAAAGCTGTTAAAGTTGCCGTGCAGAGAAAAGGATTAAACAGCATATGACTCAACGGTAAGAAAACAGTATTGCTATTTAGTCTGTACCACCTTTAGGTTTGCACAGGATGTGACCGTTCTCGTTCTTATGAGCAGTTTATTGCTTTTTATTACAGTCATAGGGTATTTAAAGATTACTGATTTGATACTGCACTTCAGTTTCTTGTAATTATTAAGAAACTCTCAGCTGAAAAGAGCTCGAAAAGTTTTCGTGCATTTAAAAATTTTGCTCTTTTGCGTGACCCTGTTTTTTGTTGCTTTGTGTTTAGGACATCCTTGATATTTACTTTTTGACACTCAGTGAGAACAAAATACCAGTTGCAGATATTTACATTCCAAATGAATAAATAACTAAATAAATCTTTTTTTTTTTAAGCTGGCATGGAAGACTTGTCAAGATATTGGGGAATCGACAGGATCTTGTTTCTCACATGTTGCATCGTCTCTATATTTTTACAAGCAGGTAAAATTTATTTTACAGCTTTGACAATGAGTATAATGTAATGGAAAAGTTTAATAAATTTTTCAGCTTTTGCTTTTATACTGGAAGCTACATGGAAAAAAGTATGAATAGTGCAAAATAAGCTTAATTTTATATCTGGATTATGACTTAAACTTCAGTTCTTTGTTTTTTTGGGATGGGCTGTATTCTGCAACGTGCCTGCCTTTTTACAAAGCTGTGTATCCTTTTTTGTATATTTGTCACAAAATACGGTTAAATGTTGATTTATATCTCAAGTGAAGTAACCTATCCAGATCTACCTGATATTAAGAAGTAATTCCTCCCTAAATATAAACCCTGTTGCGCAGCCTTGGCAGCAAGAACTGCGATCAGCAGTAACTTGTAATGCGTCTTTCAGATCACTGTGCACAAAACTTGACCCATGTCTTGGCCAGACACTCTTTAAGCATTTTCTTTTAAAGAGCAGAATTCATGAAAACAGAAAAGCAGCCTCCGACCATCACACTACCACCACCATGTTTTACTGTAGCTATGATGTTCTTTTCATGAAATGCTGTATCAGGTTTATAGCGCATGTGCCGAGGCTCAAACCTTGCAAAAAGACAAACTTCTTTTCTCTTGAGCCCACAGATTAATTTCCCAAAAGTTTCATTGATCAACAAGTTTTTTTTATGTCAAATGTGAAATAATCCTTTGAGGTTTTGTTTATTGGAAGCTATGTAACTCAATTTTTAGGGTGGTTTTTTTTTTTTATAAATGTTGAAACATGAATACTGACCTTAGCTGAGACAAGTGAGGCCTGAAATTCTTTAGATGTGGTTTCATACCTCAGACACCCTGTGTGTGTTTTTTTTTTTTACCTCCTCATTGAGCCGTCAATTCTCTCTTGGGGTAATTTTGTTAGACTGGCCACTCTTGGGAAGGTTAATGTTTATTTACTTGTGGATACTGGCTCTCACTGTAATTTGTTGGAGTCCCAAAGCCTTAAAATGTACTTTATTACAGTCAGGTAGATTTGGATATCTTTTTTCCTGAACAAATAGAATCACCATTTGAAAACTGTATTTTTAAAATGTATGTTGGTTATCTGCTCTGAAGCATACAAAAAATAGGAAGTGGGCAAATAGTTTTTTCATAGCACTGTACATGCGTTCAATATTGATAAAGTCAGAAAAAGGATGAAAAAGCAGAGCTGACATAACGGTGGGCTGCAAAGTGACTTGAAGAGAAACCAGCATCGATAGTCAAGCGATAGTCGATAGTACCCATAGGGTACACAATGAGATTATGTACCCTATGGGATATAACAGTTGAAAGTGCGTAGGAGCATCAGCTGAGCTAACTGATATACCAGGATTAACTTCATTCAGTGACCTGCTCTGTATGTTCTTCTACTCTTTATGCTCAAAGTTAAAGCTAACCATCTACAGCAACTGTGACACGCTTTCATAAAAATTAAAATCATGTAAAAAAAAAAAAAAAAACCACATTTCCCAAAATGCAGTCCTATTCCCCAAAATACTGATGCTGCAGAATGTAAACACAACACAAGCTTAGTATACTACAGGATACTATATATGTAATGGAAGTAATGAGTAAATGAGGCCTATAAAGGGATTTTTTTTTGTCTTTCAAGAAGCGAACAGCACTTCCGGGATGGTGGGGAGCACAGTGACCCTGCACTGTACCAGTAACACAACCGGTGACCTCCTTCAACTGACATGGGGAAGGAATGGGACTCAGCTGTTTAGTTTCAGGCCACAGAAAACCTCAAACAGCAGCTCTGTCACCTTAAGCAGGTCTGCTGCTGCTGCCACCCTGAATCTAAACATGTCCACCTTAGAAAGCCAATCATATGCACTAATCATAGAGAGCGCCCAGAAAAGTCACGCAGGAAACTACACTTGTGAAATAACCACAGACTCTGGATTCATCGAACAGAAATGGGAGCTTGTGATTATAGGTGAGTTTATCAGCTTTTGATTTTTTGATTACAAAAACCAACCAACCAAACAGACAAAAAAGCATACCTTACACACCCATCATGACTGAATACAGTGTGGGGGCGAGGGCAGAGGCTGGCTGATGGTGGGGCACGTAAAGAAGAAGGGGTTGGCAACAATGGCCTCTTTTTTTTTTTAGCTTATCCCATTTTTTATCTTCTTTTTAAAATACACAAGTCCCTGCCCTTTTGCTCTAAAGACTACACTGGATTAACTTCATTCAGTGGCCTGCTCTGTATGTTCGCCTACTATTTATGCTCAAAGTTAGAGCTAATCATCTACAGCAACTGTGACACGCTTTTGATAAAACTTAAAATCATGTAAAAACAAAAGAAAACACATTTCCCAAAATGCAGTCCTATTCCCCAAAAATACTGATGCTGCAGAATGTAAACACAACCTAAGCTTAGTATACTATAGGATACTATATATGTAATGGAAGTAATGAGTAAATTAGGCCTATAAAGGGATTTTTTTTTTTTTTTGTCTTTCAAGAAGCGAACAGCACTTCCAGGATGGTGGGGAGCACAGTGACCCTGCACTGTACCAGTAACACAACCGGTGACCTCCTTCAACTGACATGGAGAAGGAATGGGACTCAGCTGTTTAGTTTCAGGCCACAGAAAGCCTCAAACAGCAGCTCTGTCACCTTAAGCAGGTCTCCTGCAGCTGCCACCCTGAATCTGACCATGTCCACCTTAGAAAGCCAATCATATGCACTAATCATAGAGAGCGCCCAGAAAAGTCACACAGGAAACTACACTTGTGAAATAACCACAGACTCTGGAGTCATTGAGCAGGAATGGGAGCTTGTGATTATAGGTGGGTTTATCAGCTTTTGAAGTTTTTAGATTACAAAAACCAACCAACCAAACAGACAAAAAAGCACACCTTACACACCCATCAGGACTGAATACAGTGTGGGGGCGGAGCAGAGGCTGGCTGATGGTGGGGCACGTAAAGAAGAAGAGGTTGACAACAATGGCATTTTTTAGCTTATCCCATTTTTATTTTCTTTCTAAAATACACAAGTCCCTGCCCTTTTACTCTAAAGATTACACTGGATTAACTGCAGTTTGTGGGACTTTTATAGGCGGCTGGTGAGAGCACTACTCAAATGCTGTTCTAGGTGAAAGTTGAAAACTCACCAACACACAATAGCGCTGAGCACCTCTGGCTGCACTGACATTTCCTTCATAATTGTGCATTGACCTTAATGTTAGATTGTGTGGCAGGATTAATGCTTTTCCCATTCAAACCACAGTATGAAAGTAGAAATATAAAGCTCCCAAGTTTCAGACTTTACATGAATGACATGAATGACATGAAGCGGTAAAAAACATTTTGTGAGATGCCTGAGGTCTTTTCAGAGACCACAGGGCAGGTGTAAGCACTTCTGACTTCTTTTCTGAAAACATAGAGCTAATAATAATAATAACAACAAAAAAACAAGATACTGCTGTTGGTTGGAAATTAGCATATCTGAACCAACCGAATTGCAGTGAAATGACTCACTTTTTAAATTTTATTTTACAGAGAACGCTGAAGCTGAAAGTTCGAATAAAATCAGCAAACTTACAACAATTGCAATTATTGTACCTTCGCTATGTTTCCTGATCTTTATATTAACTGCTGTGATCATTCTCAGAGGAGTCTGCAAACGACGTTCACAGTGAGCTTCCTCCAGTCATTCTTTTACATTATTTTATGCCATTGCTATTACAAATAAAGTGTTTTTTTTCTTTTTCTTTCTTTTTTACAGAACAATCACCCAGCCTCCTAGAAGGTTGGTAAGTGTGGTAAGTTAGGAAGTTTCTTCGTTTTTTTCCCATTTATACACAATACTTAGACTTAGAAGGTCAAATAGATCTGCCACCTTTTCCAGCTCCACTAGCACAAGGACAGAAACCAACCAATACCACAATATCTGCATTCATGTTGTATTTAAGCTCCTTAAATATGATGTTTTGTTCCTCTTTTTTCCTTCTGCAGCGGGAGCCGACACAACCCACTTATGAAAACCTGGATTTTGAAGGTCGCCAGCAATGTGGACAAATTCAGGTTCACCCTTATAAATACAGGGCTGAGTGATATGAATTGCACAGTAAAATAAGACATAACTCTTTTAAACGATCAACCACTTTAAGCAGCTTTCTCCCTGAGTGTGTTGTAATGAAGAGCACAATCTGTAATTGAAGATGCATTATTTTTTTGTCTGGGTGAACACCAGTCAGAATGTGACATCATCGATTTGTAATCATAAGTTGACAGTTGACAGTACATCCCTGTCAGTTTGTATAGGGTGTGTAAATCCTGAGCAAAATAGCTTTCTTGGAGCTCCTAAATGCACTGTTATTCACTCACTGGCTAATGTTGTTTTAAATGAATTCAGTTTTATTTATACAAGTCCAAATCACACCCACATGTCATCTTAGGCTGCTTGTCTAGTAAGCTCAAGACGTTACAGTTTTACAGAGAGAACAAGTGCCCATTCATTATGCTCTCAGTGCTGCAGTTGCGAAAGTAAAACTTTAAACTTGACGCATTTGAACATGATAGGGTAGTTAGTGTGCTCATCTCTGATGCTGTCTCACAGTTTAATATAGGAGATGCAGAGAGAACCAGATCAAAGCGGAATTTATTTACTTAATTGAAGATTCTTGGTGATAAATAAGACTACACAAACCCTGATCACTGTTTTTGTTATCTGTGTATGCTTTCATTTCATAAATCAGACTTCAAGGTAAATAAGTTACAAGTATATTTATTGTTTTTCTCATCACCGGGTAAATGCAAATGCATGACAATGCAAAAAACATAGTTTATGCTGGTGTAACCTCACAGGCGATCTACCTTCTGTGGTTTTAGTACGATACGTCTCAACAGGTTACATATATAGAAAATATTCTTTCATCAGAGATTGTATATCACTGTTAAAGCACACTGTAGCAACAACCCCAAAAGGTTTGACACTGTGTGAAATAAAAACAGAATGCAATTATTTTCCAATCTCATAAGCTCACATTTTACTATTTCATGGGAAATATGAGCTCATTTTCAGTTTAATGGCTGCAGCATGTGTCAAAAAAGCAGGGATAGTAGCAACAGAAGACTAATACTAATTAGGTTAACTGTTTTCAGGCCATTAGAACCGATTTTAGAAAATACGACATCTACAAATTGTGGAACAGTTTCAGAATAATGTCCCTAAACATGAATCTGGAGAAATCTCTGTGCACATGTGACAAGGTGGAATATCAATAATTGATGCCTGTCATGATTCTGTCATGGAGGTCACTTCATCAGCTCAGGAACACAGTTTACTGTGCCATCCACAAATACATGGAAACCATACTGGCTGAACCAAAGAGGACCATCAGGCTCAGTACAGATGCCTGTATCTGTGATGGTAAAGTGTTGCATTAATTAGTGCTTATGGAACTGGCAGCTTGCATCTTTAAAGACGCCTTCAATGCTAGCCAGGTTAAAGGAAAGTCAACTTTATGACACTGCAGACTCTGACTTCAAGCTCACTAATGCATTAATGGCACTTTGTACTGCACTCATTTTGACTGTATTCTGAAGAGGAGAATCAGAGAGTCAATAAGATGGTACTAAGATCACATTTAAAGACTCTGCATGACTCAGTGGAAAATATCTCACATCCTTCCCTTGTCTGTGGTCACTGGTGTGAAGTGGCGTCGATGCTTAAAAAAACAAAACAACCACAACTCACAACAGTGTTTGGTTTTTTTTTAGGTCAAGAAACTGTTTAATTCCAGGCACGGATGTAGAAGGTAATTTCCTGTGAAATTATTTTTCCAATCGTTTAAGAAATTAAACAATAAAATCTAAAAGTGCAAATAGTGGACTGCTAATGCAAGTAGCTTACTCAGTTCATCAGCTGGCAAAGTGAATGAAGAGAAAACTTAAAATTCATGATGAGGGCATTTTAAAAGAGAAGTGCAGTGCTTAAAAATGCTTCAAAAGACACTAACAGTACACATGAGCCAAGTTTAAACTCAGCAAACTCCTACTGGTTGGAGCTGCCCATGCTGGCAGTCCACACCTCTAATTTTAAAAAGGCTGTAATAAAAACAAGAATAGATAAGTCCTAAAGTAGAAAAAACATCTCCCTCATCCAGATTAGGTTAACTGGGGATTCAAAATTGCCCAAAGGTGTACATGTGAGTGTGAATGGCTTTCTGTCTCTATGTACTGTCTCTGCAGAAGACATTGTTGAACCCCTCTCCCCACAGCCCAACCTGTTTGGAATAAGTTAACACATTGCTCCAGTGTTGTTGTTGTTGTTGTTTTTTTGAATACGTATCATTTAATGTGTAGCACCTGTGCTTGTCACTATAAATGGCTCTGTAGAGACTACATCGATCAGGCATAACATTATGACCACCTGCCTAATATTATGTCTGCCTCTTTTTCTGCTATAACAGTAAACAATTCCAATGCACTGTGTATTCTGAAACCTTTTTATGTGAACCAGTCTTACCTTTTTTGGCAATTTGAGCAAAAGTAAGTCATCTGTTGGATCAAAACATGTGGGCCAGGCTTTGCTTCTCATGTGTAAAATGGCCTGTATTTGTATAGCGCTTTACACTACATTCAGTCATTGGTGATGGCAAGCTGCATTGTAGCCACAGCTGCCCTGGGGCGTGCTGACAGAGGCGAGGCTGCCAGACACTGGGGCCACCGGGCCCACCACCAGTAGGCAACAGGTGAAGTGCTTTGCCCAAGGAGACAACAACCAAGACTGTCGGAGCTGGGGCTCGAACCGGCAACCTTCCGATTACAAGACGAACTGCCAACTCTTGAGCCACGATCGCCCCAATGTGTCAATGACCCTGTTGCTGGTTCACCACTGTTCCTTCCTTGAACCACTTCTAATGGATACTGACTATTGCAGACTGGGATCACCACACAAGAGCTGAGAGCTGGGTTACTGAGATGCTCTGATCCTGCCGCTTACCTGTCACAATGTTGCCCTTTTCAAACTTAATCAGAGCCTTGCCCATTTTTCCTCCTTTAAACACATATAATTTTAGGGCAAAATGTTCATTTGACCCCTAATATATCCCACTCAGTAAGACGTGACATGCTGATCAGCGTTATCAAAGCCATAACTTTTGGAAACTTTATTTACACAAACAAATTTTTGGGAGTCGTAATTGATAATTAAATTTCATGGAAACCCCACGTCAGACACATAAAAACCAAAATTTCCAGAAGCCTCGCAGTGTTGAACAAAGTGAAACAATTCCTTGATAAAGATGCACTTTGTACTCTGTACTGTACCCTGGTTCTTCCATATCTTCCATATTGTGTGGAAGTGTGGGGAAATACATATAAAAATACAACTAATCCATTAGTCACAGTACAGAAACGAGCACTGTGTATTATTCACAAGGTTGGTTATCTAGATCATACTCACAAATTCTTTCTTCAGGCAAAGTTACTTAAATTCCAGGATCTGGTTAATTACAATACATCCATCATTTTGTATAAAGCTTTTACTAAACTTTTACAAATTCGAGAAAAGGTTTATAATGTGAGAGGCTTTGGAGAATTCAAATTACCCAGAACTCGAACAACCCGTAAAGGTTTTTGTGTGTCTGTATGTGGTGTGAAAATCTGGAACAGTCTGAGTTTACAATTGAAACAATGCAAAAATATTCATAGATTTAAATTTCTCTACAAACAGTTGGTCTGGTCACAGTATACTCAATGATGGTTTTTAGTGTGCTCTGTAATGTCTGTTCTCTTACCATTGCTGGTATGGATTCCAAAAGAGGAAAAAAATAAATAAATAAATAAAGAAGAGTGTGCGTATGTATGTATATATACGTGCATGTGTGTGTAGATATATATGTATGTATGTATATGTATGTGTGTTTGTTACTTGTAGTTATTACTGCCTGTTACCTGTGGTAATGCAATTTATAATTTATATATTCTGTATTCAGTTATGAAGGCTCTAATTGTTGATGCTTGTATGTGCCCGGGGCTGTTGATGGGTCTGTATGCAATGATGGGCGTAGCTGCGGGAAGTTTATTGTTTTTTTTGTTGATGAGTGAGTATAGGGGTGGGATTTAATAAGTTTTCTTCGTCCCACTCGAAGAAGTGGGACAACAGAAATAGCAACATTTTCTTACCAGTATTGAGTCATATGCTGTTTGGTCCTTATCTCTATAACACTGTTTGGTCCTTATCTCTCTTATCTCTCTTCATTTCCCACTTGGAAAATGAAGCCTATTTTGTTAATCTATGACAGAAAATCCTTAATATAGACAATTGTGTATGGTATGCTCATTGTGATTCGTGGTTGATAAATTGTTAGCCAGTGAGTGCGCAGTTTCGCAGTTGTTTGTTGTCACATCTTTTTTTTTTTTTTTAAACCAACATTGTAATTGTGGAAACATTTATTTTGAGGCTTGAGAACAGACATCATAAACCTGCGGGTGATGTCACAGAAGCTACGCCAATCTTTAATATCATATATGGGAACAGGTCTCGGTGACTTCATAGCTGGTTATGGCCATATATGGAATAAATACATCTTTAGAACATCAGAAATCAATAATGTGCAATTCAGGTAATGGGAAATTCTTATATTATTTCTCTTTTTCAAAGATTTAGAGTTGTCATGAATTGTTTTAAAGCTAGCAGACATCTAAAGTGCGAATAACTGTAAAAAAAAAAAAGATATAACTTTTAGTTTACTCAGTGGTCATTCATTGTCAGCGTTGCTGTGAATGAATATCTGTCATGGTCCTGGGTCGGTGACCCAGCGCTTTAAGTTTATTATTATCATTTTCCAATTTATTATCATGATTATTATTGTTGTTTGAGTTCTACGTGTTATATTGGGTCTGCCTCTGAGTCTGCGTCTGTATCTGTCTGTCTATGGTGTCACCCCTTCTGTTTGTGAATCTGTCTGTTTAGTTCAATGTCTTGTCTGGTTCCATGTGTCTGAGTTTCCTGTTTTATTGTGAAGGTCTGTGTCGTATGTGAGTGTGCTCAGTTTACGTTTCCCCTGTCTCGTCAGCTGTGATTTCTCCCAGGTGTGTTCCCCTCCTGTCTCTCATCCCTTGATTACTGCTATCTGTGTATTTAAGCCCTGTGTTTCTTTGTGTCAGTGTTGCGTCATACCCTCAACTAGCTGTGTGTTCTGCGTCTATGTTCCTAGTGTTTAGTCTCCTGTGCCAGTTTAGTATTTCTTTTCCAGTGTTTTAGTCCTTGATTCCTCTGTTCTGACTTTTGGTTTTCTTTTGGTGAGTTTAGTTTGTACGAGGTTTTTCCCAGCAATAAAGCTGCGCTATAAGTTTAACTTCCGTGTCTGAGTTCTGCATTTTGGGTCCACCACTCCTGCTTGCCTGCCACACAGCGATTCATGACAATATCACCCCCACAACATCCAGCCAATCAAGAAAAGCGAATTACTCACTTGGCCAGCACCCAAAGTCATTCACTTCCTGTATGGAAACCACTCTAATATAAGTACTAGGTAAGGTTGAATCTTTTGCATACATGCTATAGCTGGTCTACTGTATAATTACGATGATTATAATATATACACTTTACTTGTTTTTGAGACCTACAACGTGTTAAAGGTCTGTTATAGAGATAAGGACCAAACAGCATATGACTCAATACTGGTAAGAAAATGTTGCTATTTCTGTTGTTACTGCATTAGGTTTACACAGGATGTGATCGTTCTTACTGGAATTATAGGTTATCTGTTTGCAATGAGACATATTTAAATTCTACTGTTCTTCAGTTTCGTGTAATTATAACCCTGAAGGTAAAAAGTCTTCACACGCTTAGAAGTTTTGTTATGGTATGTTTTGCGCTAAAGTGTTTATTGCGTTGTTGCTGATTCACTGTACAAGACATTCTTGATAATCACATGTATTACATGAATCTCAGTTTACAAATATCGACAATTCATCTGTTATATTACAAGGTGGCTACTTTAAAAATGTTATAATGGATCTTTCTTTCAAGTGGGGATGGAAAACCTTTCAAGATACCTGGACATCAATCGGACATTGACTCTAATATGTTGCTTCTCCTGTATTTTCTTGCAAGCAGGTATTAGCAATTTCTGTGATGATGGTTATAAGTTATGTTTCTCTTTCTAATTAAGAGGTTTATTGTAAAAACAACAACAACCATAAAAACAATAAAAAAAGACATTTTGGAGGATGTTGTGGCTTATTGTTAGCAAACTTGCTTGTTTAGTTCAGTCAGTGCAGCTTAACTCCAGGACAAAATTTTGTGGATGCAGTCTTTATTTCCACAGTGTTTATTTTTTTTTATCCCCTTCAGAAGGTATCAGCACTTCCTGGATGGTCGGGAGCACAGTGACCCTGCACTGTAGCAATAAGTCAATCAGTGACCTCGTTCAACTAACATGGAGAAGGAATGGGACTTGTCTTTTTAGTTTCAGGCCACGGAAAACCTCAAACAGCAGCTCTGTCACCTTAAGCAGTAATCAGAAAATCTCAGACAGCAGAATTAGGACGTTTTCTGCAGCTGCCCCCCTGAATCTAAATATGTCCACATCGGAAAGCCAACTGTATGCACTAATCATAGAGAGAGCCCAGAAAAGTCACACAGGAAACTACACTTGTGAAACTACCACAGACTTTGGAGTCTTTGAACAGAAATGGGAGCTCGTCATTACAGGTTAGTTTATCAACTTTTGAAGTTTTCAGATTACAAAAACCAAACAAAATATTACTGTCACACATTTATCATAACTGAATGTGGGGATGGGTAGGCCCCATAAACAGGAAAAGGCTGGAAACAATGGGACTTTCCATACATAGAGCTTATCTCTCACGTCCTCTCTCTCTCTCTTTCTCTTTGTTTCTTTGGTATCAAAGATAAGTCTATCTAAAAATATTCCATGTGATTATCAAAAGTTAAGCTTTCAGAGCAGGCTGGGGAGAGTTGAGTTTCCCTTAATATACTCGTCTACCTCTATATGTACACCTGAACACTTTTGGTTACAGTGGCTTTGCTTTCCTGTTTGTATACAGAGCAGAGACACTGTGGGTACATGAGTACTTCTTAAATGCAAAGCTCCCAAGCTTCAAACTTTGACATGACGCACAATTACAATAAGTTACATTTTATAAGAAGTCTTTTGCTTTTACATTTAAGTGAAATTAACTGAGTATTAAAACTGCAGTCAAATGAGTTCCTTTATTATTTTACAGAGGAAGCTGGGAATGCATTGAAAATCCATATTGCTGCAATTATTGTACCTTGCATGTGTTTCCTGATATTTATAATTAGTGCTTTGACCTTTCTGAGGCAACTCTGCAAAAAACAGCCAGAGTAAGTTGACTCCAGTCATTCTTTTGCAAAATGTAATGCTAATCGCATGACACTGAAATGAACTCATTCATCTCAACATTTCAACAAACTCTTTCTATTTTTTTCACAGAAATATCACCCAGTCTCCGACTGTGACATCGGTAACTAGAATAATTTTTGTACTTTCTGCTGAGAAGTTAGATTGTCTTTGTAGACAATTTGCAGATTTATATTTGAAAGATCAAGCAGATCTGCCATCTTCTCCACTTTAGACAATACTGAAGATCTGGATATGCAGCTAAACTCTGATATAGAAAATATAGAAAATCAGTACCACCACATACGATATACCTATTGTTCTGTCCTCACTAGATGTGGGCGTGATTTAGCTTATCCAGTTTGACAGACAGTGAACAGAATGAGAAGAAGAGAATGCTTTGAACTGAGATTCTTCTTTACTTCGATCTGCATCTCCAGTTTACAGGCCATGTTACTGAGGCTTCTTATACATGGTATCCTTTATCCATTTTCATTACTCTCCTTTCTCCTTTCTTTTTAAAAAACTAAATAAACACAAAACAGATAATTACCTTCTCATTCACTGAACATACATAATGTACTAATTGAACCTTAGTTTTCATGACAACCAGCAAAAAACATAAATCTTAAGGTTGCCTAAATTAAACATAAACATCACCTTCAGTTAACTAGCATTATTGATCATAGCAAGTTAGCAAACACATGCTAATATACAGTCGCTAGCACACAAGTAGCTTTAAAATGAGTAATGACCACACAGCTGAAATAGTAACTCAGTATATGCACATTACACATGCATCACAAATCAGATAGTTAAGGTTATAGTATGTAATGAAAACTTACAGGCATGCGTGGGCAAAAGTTTCACCTCCACTGAGCACTTGTAGCAAACTAGCTGGGCATAACAACTTCCCAAGTACCAACTGTGGCCACAAGAGGGTGCCAAATCATACAAACAAAAGCATATTACCACATTAAAGTTATACCAACACACCTATTTATGTTAAATTTACTGTTAACTGTTTTGTATTTATTTTGATCTGCGAGCCCGTATGTTTATCATTGAGCTACATTGTGTTACATGTTTTGCTCTGCTGTAACACATTTTGTCTTATTTTGATTCCTTTTATGCCAATTTTTTTGCAGCAAGAACATACTTATGAAAACCCCCTGGAACTCGAAGCTCGCTGGCAACGTTTACAAATCCAGGTTCTCCCCTACACAAAGAGTACTGAGCGATAAGAATCACACATATTAAATAAAATTAATTAAATTAAAATGAAAACATTTTAATAAATAATCCAGATATATTTGTACTGTAATGAAGAGCACATTGTGTACTTAAACCTCCATTAAATTTGTTTTTCTTGCTGACTGGACACTTGCTATAATGTGACCTCATCAATCTGTGAATACTACAAATCTCTGTAAATTAAACAGCAGGTAAACTGGAGCAGGAACCTGCACTTTCTTTTCTAAATGCACTGTCCTTTACTCACTGGCTAATGTTTTACAATCACAATCTACATTTTGTCATTTTAGACTGCTTGTTTAATAATTTTAAGACTTTGCAACTTTATAAAGAATAAACAAACAATTTGATCAAGCAAATGGCAGCAACGAGAAGAAGAAATGACATCTTACAGAACAAGATTCAGGTTCTGTGTCTGTCTTTTTAAAAGCTGAGAAGCCAAAACAGTTTTTCAGCGTTTATTTTTACTGGCCATGGATTTTTTTCCATTAAGGAAATAGAAACAATGGGTCAAAAAATTCCTCTGCTGAGAAAACTGTGGAGTCAGGTGATGACGTCCAGACTCAGACATACAGTTACATGCAAAAATAATAGCAGAGGAAAGGTTCCATGTTCCTAATAGCATTTATTTCATATATAAAAGGGCAATAGGAGCCATGCAAGTTCAATTCCAAATAAAAACATGAACAATTTTTTTCTTTTCTTTTCTTTTCTCTCTCTCTCTTTTAATGAAAACAAAGAAAGCAAATATTAGGTTGTTAAAAAAATTGCAGTGTCTGCATGTAATGCAGCATGCCTGTCATGCCTGTTAGTCTGTTGGTTGGCCATTACTCTGCTACACCTAGTCATGAATTTGTATCACAATTTCTGCCAAAATCAGTACTTAAACACATTAGTAATGTTAGACTGCTATTATTTTGCACATAACTGTAAGTAGCCTACTTACAATGTGTCTTTTTTCTCTTCTTAATAAAAAAGCATTTTTAAATATCATATTTGTCTCCTCCCTTACTGAAAAATGTAGGTATTAGAACACTAAATTTATTGCCCTTCCAAGTCATTGAATTCAGATATTCCAATCACTTCCATGACTATAGGTGATTAAAATAAACCACCTAAGCATTCAGACTGAAATGGAAACAAAACACGCATTAAGAGGGTCTAATGCCTGTCTCTCAATCATGCAGTCCATGTCACCCCTACCTGGGGCCCACATAATGACGTGAAGAAATGTTTTTTTATTATTCAAAAAAATATGAAGGCAATAGGCAAAGTGTTACAGGCATAGTATGAAGCATGTAAATATAATAATAACCACTGCAGCTAAAAAGAGTGCCCGACGAGCCCAGTTGTAAGTAAGCTATTAAAACAGTGTGTTCGTGTTTTCCTCCAAAACAATAAGTTCCGTTGGAGCAGCCGTTCAACGTCTCTCTCTGGTTCTTGCTAGCGAAATTGACCCAGACAACAAAGTAAAGCCATTTTTCAGCTACGAGCCCGACACGGAACCCGACGTATTAGCCAGAGGTCCCTTTACTACGGTTCGGAGCCGCTGACTTGTTTTATATATGCGTACAAAATATTTTTCTATACGAGATTGCTGCAAAAAGTGCAGCCTTACCTAATATCCACCCTACTATTAACTCATTTTATATTACGATTTAAACATCTAGTTGGTATTGGTATGGTGAGTAGCCTTCAGTAATAGTAATAAATCACACAGCAATAGTAGATTCATGTAGTTGTAAAAAGCTTGATAATATATTTAGTAATCCAAAGTATTGAGAATACGTTACTCTCATTGAGTACCGCAATGGAATACGTTACAGAATACATTTTGGGGCATGTATTCTGTAATCTGTAGTGGAATACATTTTTAAAGTAACCTTCTCAACACTGCTGGTAACAGGTATCACGAAGGTCGTTGTCAACATACTCTCTTAAACCAGGCGGTCCTCCATTAGTTAAAGGCATTTAGCAAAGAAGAACCCATATGTAATCCACAACACCTTCTATTGACCAAAGATAGACTGGGAAATTATTCTGTAATCAGATGAATCAGAATTTTTAATTTTCCACAGTGTGAAAGATTTTGTAAGCATTTGTAAATTTGATCACATCAATTTAAGTCCTAAAGGGTTCAATGACAATACTGCTGTGTAAAACACACATACAGTTTATGATTATATAACTATAAGCTACTGCGTTCTACTTTTCATAATGGACCCAACCACTAGTTCAGAGGGAACTAATTTTCCTGAGGCAGAGATTTCCTTGGGAGAGGGTGGTTTCTCAACGACATGATTCTGACACCCAAAGTGGGTGGGTCACCTCTGTGAATTACAAACCTCATAGACAGCATCTTTAAGTACACCCATCTCAAAGCTGGCTAGTCAGACTGGTTAGTCCATTATGAGTAACAATAGGGCATTGTTGGGGCTGTTACTTACAGCAAAAAAAAGGAATGTATTACACATTTCTCATTACTTTTCTTAAAGTTATGCAATTACTTGTTTGCAAAAGTATCACTGCTTCTTACATTACTTTCTTATTACTTTCTTATTAAGGATGTTATGCACCAAACACATTATAAAAGTGACAAAAAATTGTGAATTTTTTGGAAGTGTCCAAGAAGAAAAGGTGTTTTTGTTTTGTTTTGTTTATCTGTCTCTGCCCACCTGTCCTGCAGATGATTTAAGAGTGCAAAAAAGAACGCATTAAGAAAAATGACTTTGGGCCTTTTTGTGGACACGCCTGGGCTAAGTAATGCTATTGAAATTGTTGATGAGTGCCTATGGTGGCAGGGATGTATTGTATAGCATCCATAAGGTGTCAGTGATGTTCACCAAATGTAGCACCTTCAAGGATTGACGTAGGCACGATGTAGAGTTATAAAACAGGATTTATTCTGGTCTTGACATCTCATGAGAACTGTTCACGGACCAAAAAAATAAAACAAAAACATCACATCAAAATGCGCTCTTGTACTTAGTGTCAATCAATCAAAAGTCCTTAATTACAGAAAATAAAACATTTAAAATACACAAACCCCGTGAGCTGACATCCAGGAGGGGCTAAATAGTCCGTTGTGGTCTTATTGCCTTATTCTTCATCTTCTTTCTCACTTATTTCTTCTCTTTCTCTAACGTTAAACACTACTTCTCCATGTGTGGAGCTATCCGTGAGCTGCAGCATGCAGACACCATGTACGCTAGCAAAAAGTGGCTGGGTGGAGACCCAAACTGCAAACAACTGTACCCTACACAGTTTACCACCAGAGGGTGCAAAAGAACAAAATCCGGACACACAGCTTAACAAAACATCAAATACAAAAGACCGTTACACCAAATATCGCACTCTTCAAAATGTGTTAAAGAAGCCACAGAATGGACAACCATGAGGTCCAGGAATGCATTGTGACTTCAGTGTCAACTCAGGGCATGCATTCAAGTTCTTCCCAAAGCTCCAGGGACTGGTGGGATCATAATGACAGTGCAGGTCACTTCCAGCTCACAGCTCATCTTGAACTTTGGGCTTGTTGTGCAGTCTCGACCTGCAGACCTCACTCCTCAGATATGCCCACAGCAGGCCCTCTTAGACTCTGTCTTGGTGTTTAGTTACATAATTTATTATTTTAGAATCCTGTTTCCTTGTTCCTTATTTTCATTATACTTTCCCATGTCTTGTTATCAGATTTAATTCAACTGTGTATAGTTCCACTGGTATCTCCACTCTGCCCTGATCTCTTGTTTATTCAAACCATAAAGCCGTTGTTTTGTTCGTTGGTCCGTACTGACTGTTTGGCTGCGTGTGTATTTTCCTCCATGCTTTCAATGGACTTTTGGACTTGCAGATTGGTACTGTTCTACAACATAAATAAAGATTTGTTTAATGGTATTAATTAGTTCATCTCGGTCTCTGGTTTCGGTCCATACATTCCTCAACAACATGACTGCATCAATGTCTTCATGCCAGTGTGCCTGAGGGTTTTTCCTAAGAATTGTCAGGACTGGGTGATACCAGTCAATCCACTCTCATGAGCTACAACAAAGAGACTATGTGTCTTATGCTTCACTAGTAGTTACTGGAAAAGCAGCTGCAAAAGACATGGAAGGATATCAGTGACCCAGGCCGAGCCAGAGTCAGCCTTTGAAAAAAAGTAGATCACCCACACTTGGAGAGGGGCAGTGTGGAGGTGAACTAAAATCCCTTAGTGCAGATGAGTCAGATATGATAACATTTGCACAGGTATGCCAGATCTTTCATGTTGGTTCAAGGATCAGCAGAGGGTTTTTTTTCCAACACCCATTTCTAGCAAATGGCAAAGTTAAATTGGAGTGTATTATGAGTCAGAAGGCTGAATGTTTACTTACAGTGTGTGGAGTGTTATAGGTGAACTAACAGAACAATGGTGGTCTTAGCTGTTTTGGAAAGCAGGCCGTTTGATTTTACTCTTGTCTTAGTGGAGTTAGGCCAGTGCATTAACCCTTTAAAGCCAAGTGCATCATATTTGATACATGTGTTTTTGTGAGTTTTTGAGACTTCTACATCATCAGCGTGATGTTTTTTACCCTCAAAAAATGATATAGATTGCATGACACATTTTTAATGACTAAATTACAAAAATCTTAAAGCTCGTATTTACTCGTAATTAAAACTTGTATTAAAAAACTCGTATATGCACATTAAGATTTGATGTATTTTCATTTATGTTTTGTCTAAAGGTTCAACAAACACTCCATTATCAAGTAATTAAAGATTTCTGGCAGTTATTTCAGGGTTCAGGATTTAAACGGTTAAACTCAGTGTTGGCTTGAATGTCCTTAAGGACATAACTGATGTTGTGAAAAACACTGATGACTACTGCAAGCTAGTGACTAAGAGCATTGCTTGGTTATTATGTCATCCACCACCAGACTGATGAGGTTTCTGATGAGGTCATCACTGTGAAGTCGCACCGTACTGTCAATCAATCAGCAACATTTGCCTCAACGTGCTTTATATTTTAAGTTGAAGACCTTAAAATCACTCAGAGAAAACCCCACCCCCATTATACTACAGTGTAGCATTAAAGCTTGCTTTCAGCTTGTGATAAAAAGTGGTTGTCTACCAAAAGGACATTTCTAATATTTCTGTGTATTTTCTATGTGTAATACCTTTAATTAGATTGGTAAATAGACTTTATTGAACACGATTAATGAAGGGGTTATATATAAAATACTGTATATAAAAGGGCTTATTGTACCTATATATAATAATCAATCCAG